GGCTGGATCCAGCTCATGAGGAGCTGATAAGTTAACTTGCTGAAACTTCAAGGTAATCATAACAGCTGTCAAAACAGTACTGTGCACTTCTGGAGGGGCTGGGACGGTCCATCCCTTGCCTCTACTTAGAGCTGTTCCAGGGCTAAACACTTGTTCCCAAGCTCTCCTCTCTAAAGAGCAGCTCATAAAAATTCACCACATCCTATGCTTTGAACTTGAGATGTTGATCATGGAAGATTCCATGACTCACATGTCTCACAACCGCTAGAGTAAAGGGCATTTTATTTTCACAAAGAAATGCTCCTCACATTTCTTCTGAGCTCTGAGCTGAAGTGCTGACCTCCTCAAATAAGCACTATTGATCACTTCCCCAGGGCTCCAAATACAAATTGCAATTGTGAGCCACCAAATTGGTTTGCATATCTAATGCAAGTCTTCCTGTAAAGGTCCCCAAAATTGTACTATGCTAAAAGTGTTCGCCTTTCATTTCTGTCAAGGTGGGGAGTGGGTGCAGAAGTGTAACTAACACTCTGGTTTTCATTAACCTTCCTGGATTGCTAAGGGCTGGACAACCTCCCAGGGCTACTGCAAGGCAGCCCCGACTGTGTTCGGTGTTTGCTCCTTTCAGAGCGTTTACCACACTATGTTAGAACTGACTGCATGGCCATCTCCCCCTCCTAGGTATTAGTTGATCTGCTCATTCCTTTGCTTATTCACTCTTGCACTTGTTTTAAACTCATGTTCATGCATTAACAAGTATTTATTGAGAACCTACTATGTGCCAGATACCTCTCTAGGTATTAGAGAGAGCAATGAAGAAAGCAGATGTAGCCCCAGCCCTCATTAATGAGGGAGGGACAAATCCCCACAAAAATTATTCCACTGTGGTCATAGAAGATATTTTGTATGATTTCCGTCTTTTTAGAATTATTGAGACTTGTTTTGTGACCTAACCTACCAACTACCCTGGAGAATGTTCCATGTGCCCTCTAGAAGAGTGCTGCTGCTCAATGGACTGTTCTATACCTGTTTGTTAGACCTAACTGCCTGATACTGTCAGTCGAGTCTTCTGTCTCCTCACTAGTCCCTCTAGTTGTTCTTTCCATCACCGAAAGTGGGGTATTGAAGTCTCCAACTATTATTGTAAAACTATTTTCCCCTTCATTTCTGTCAATTTTTCACATGATATGTTTTGGGCTCTGTTGTGAGGTGCATATATGTTTATAGCTGTTACACAAAAATTATTTAATTATCATTGTTGTGGGTACCACCAAAGAATACTGGCTCTGAGGAGAGTGAACACCAGGGGGTCCTGCTTCTTTCAGGAAGCAATGTTTGGGCAGGGCTTTGGGGAGTGCTGAGAGTTAGCCAGGTTGGAGAGGAGAGGGTGAGGTTAGGAAAGGTGCTTCTGGCAGGGAGATTAACATTTGTGAAGTGGAGAGTCTAAATCAAGACTGCCTGGTCTGAATCCTGGCTCAAATCTGTTATCTGCAGACAACATCCATGTGAGAGGGTTGTTGCAGGGACTGAGTTAGGACAATGCCTAGTGCAGAGAAAATACTGTGTCAGTGTGAGCTCAGGAAAAAAAAAAATGATCCTGAGTCAGGGAGACCAAGTGAGTTAGAAGTGTCCAGTCAGCCAGGGTGGCTGGTGTGAAGGGAGGGGACAGGAAAGGGCTGGGGGGAAAACAGGTCAGCAAGGGCCTTCTTGGTGAGCTACAAGGAAGATTTGGGTCTCCATCTAGAGAGAGGGAAATAGCGTATCCTTCTGGCATTAGTGGAGATAAGCACACAGTTTGGAAGAGGTTGCCAATCTCCAGGAAAAGATGATGTGACTGGACCAGGCAGAGGCTGCTTGAGGGCAGGGACTGTGGCTGATTCGTCCCCTCCACCAAGGACCTGACATGACACCACCCTGCAGGAGGTGCTTGATAAATTCTTACTTTAATAATGAGTCCCTTCCACTCACAACTGACAGGTCTCTGGGATTCTCCTGTACAGCTTTCACCTGTCTTCCCAGCTTGTCCCCCACCTGGCCCTCCACCAGGCCCTCTTCATGCTGCACTCGCCCTTGGTTTCATCCTTCACTTCTTCACCACATGGACCTCCTCCCCCTCCCAACCTAACTGCCACCGGCACCTCCACTGCAGCCACCCAATCACTGAGAGGCCTCTAGACACCCTCCGTGCTTTTCATAATTTCACTCTAATGGCCACCACGACCCTGTAAGGCTGGTATCATGATCCTCCTCTTATGAATGGGGAGACTCAGGCCCAGCAGGGTTAAGTGGCATGTCCAAGGTCACACCAATGTGAGTCCTGTAGCTGAGATTTTAACACAGGCCAGCCTAGTTCTGACAAAATGCTCTTTCCCATGTCCTGTCCTCTCTCCAAAAGCAGGCTTTTCCCAGATGACACCTTCTCTCAGGAGACTGAACCTTCTTCCACTCAGAGCAAGTGAATGAGAGAGGAGGGGGTTCTTCCTGGCCTCAACCCAGGACCCACTCCACTCTCTTTACCAGCCCAAGGGGATTATCTGTCCAAATACCAAGGCAACCTGATCAGAAATATTCAGTCTGAAGACCAACTAAATTCCTCAGGAGTTATCAGCAGAGACACCAGATAGAATTGAATCAAATAAAAAAATCAGAGCAATGTATTGAACTATTGTTTCCAACAACCCAGGGGCTATAAATTCCCACAGGAGACATGCAGTCAATGAAATAAATTAGTGGGCCAGAGTCAGGCAATAGGGAGAAGTGGGGACTGCGGTTCACTGATGAGCACTTGCCCTATGTGAAGGAGTCAGCTGCCGCTCAGCTTTGACTGTGGCGTTGTCGGAATTTGAGTTGTCTTTTAAAGAAAATATAGAAATTTAAAATTTTATGTAATATCTTCCAACTCTTAAATGTCAGCCAAAAAAAAAAAATTGTTTTTCAATACTGAAGGGGAAACGTAAAAGACATCTGAAGGCCAGACTCTGGCTGCAGGTGAATACTCCTCACCTCTATGAGAACCAAATCAGCCTGTGCGTACTTGAACAGTGACTTCCACTTCCCCGGGTGGTCCTTCTGGGACTCAAGTCAAACCACAGAGTCCCATTTCTAAAGGGGCCGTCATAAGCAGACATAGTGGACTTACATTTCAAAATCTGACAAACTCTGGTCTTCGGATGTTTGGCTCAAATCTCCAGGCACCTGGCATCAGGAGAGGGAGAAGGGAGAGAGAAAAGGCATCATGGTTACCATGGTTTGCATAATCACAAAAAAATCCTGTCTTTCAACGATCCCTGAACATTTCCTATTCAGAATGAGGTAAAAAAGCAGTGCTGGAAAACAATGAGAGGTGGTGTTACAGGAACAAAAATATGCCACCATGAGAGATCTCAATTATCTTTACAGAAAAAGGGCTGCTCATCCTATTGAGGTAAATCACAGGTGCATAAAAGCATGTAATTTTGGAGCTATAAAGGCCTAGTTAAAAATCTGAGATGCCAGATATCAAATATACAGTAGAAAAAACATCCACTGTTGCCAAGATGAACATCACACCAGAGAGAGCCTGATGCATAAACACAAGCAGCCAATGCCTGCCCCCAGTGGCTCCAATCCTTCTCCCTAATAACACATAAGCCACCTAAGGCTGCAGGACACGGTGCCTCTTGTGACTCAGAAGGGCCCCATGAGAACACAGCTGTGCGAGAGAGACTAACCTGCCTGGCGTGGTGGCAGTTATTATGTAAAGCATACGGCACAATGGCCAGCGCTGGCGGATGCTCAGTAAACGGTGAGGACATCATCACACCCAGGGAATACATTTCCTTTTGTGGGCTGATAGAATCTGAACTGGTCAGAGCTTAAGAATGTGGGTTAAAATGAAGAGGAACCAAATGGAACAGAGAAGGGTGCAGGTAGTGAGGGAGCTTTTACTTCACGCTCTGCGCTGTTAGAGATTTCACACTCTGACAATCTTCATCAGTCTGGGGAGCAACCCCAGGGGTGGGTTTACCCCCCCCCCCATTACTCTAC